AAAAAAAAAAAAAAAAAAAAACAGAAAGAAAAATCTACTGAGGACCTATTTGCCATATATGACATAAGTACTTCACATGTGCCAGCTCATTTAATATTCATAACTGCCCCATAGCATAAATTGATTTTAACATCATTTTACAGATGAAGAGGCTCCAGAGACTAAGCAAATTTGTCCAAGATTGGTCAGCTTGTAAAGTGAGAGAGATGAGATTCAAACTTAGGTCTCCTCTGCATTTTCTACTACACCTGCCTCAATTTCATGGACGATATCCACAAAATGTGGACTTTTTTCACTTTTTGTCAGTACAGTTATCCACAATTATCCAGTACAGACATCCACAGAGAGTCCCAAAAGATAACTGTACTGACTTCAGGAAATTTTCTACTATTCAAAGACTAACCCAGAATCTAAAGCACAGAATGTATCAGAGTTTCAATCAGCTCAAGCTAAATAGTCCCCAAACTTGCCAGTCCTGCCTCCTGCTAATATTCTAAAAGCGGTAACACTCCTCTTCAGAATTATAAAGACCTCAAATACCCACCTACCCCATAGTTTTTGTTGTTTAAATCAAACCACATATGATAATCACTGAATAACCTGGAAACATTTTAATAGATTTCACTTAAACATATAAGACGGATTTGAAGGAGCAAATCCCTATATTAAAATGAAAATTACCATCACACAAAAAATGTAAAAATATGGTAAAACCCAAAGCTCCCTGATAACAGGATGTTTGTCATCTACTGATTACCTCTCTGCAGCACTAGCTATGTGAAAAATGTGCTCATCTTCATTCTGTAACCGTTCTTTTCGCCTTCTTTCAATGTCATGTCGTAGGTCATTCGGATCTATTATTTTGATCAGAGTCTGAGGAATTTTGACAGAAGACAAACCATTCACAATACTGTTAGTTGCACAAAGACCATATCTAACAAGAACCTTAATTACAAGTCCTAGATAAGTTATCTTGTATTCATCCTGCTAATGGTATTGTAAACTAATACAGATATTTTGAGACCCAATTGACAATAAACAGAAAAGCTCCTAACATTGAATCAGGATTCCCACCTATGAGACTCTAACCCAAAGAAAAGATTATCTACCTAAACAGATTCAAAATAGTATATTTAAAATAACAAAAAATAGAAGCTACTCAAATGTAAAAAAAAAAAATTAAGAGGAAGGGAAGAATGAGTAAATAAATCATGGTAAACTTAAGTCAAAAGAATAATATACAATCATTTAACTTATGGTAATAAAGACTATGTGGAAGTCAACATAGAAAAGTACTTTTTTTTTTTTTTTTTTTGAGACAGAGTCTCGCTCTGTTGCCCAGGCAGGAGTGCAGTGGCACGATCTTGGCTCACTGCAAGCTCTGCCTCCCGGGATCACGCCATTCTCCTGCCTCAGTCTCCCGAGTGGCTGGGACTACAGGCACCTGGCTAATTTTTTTTGTATTTTTAGTAGAGACGGGGTTTCACCCTATTAGCGAGGATGGTCTTCATCTCCTGACCTCATGGTCCACCCGCCTCAGCCTTCCAAAGTGCTGGGATTACAGGTGTGAGCCACCGCACCCGGCCGAAAAGTGCTTATTGAAAAAAGTTAATTAGGCCAGGTGTAGTGGCTCATGCCAGTAATCCCAGCACTTTGGGAGGCTGAAGTGGGTGGATCATTTGAATAGGAGTTCAAGACCAGCCTGGCCAACATGGTGAAACCCCATCTCTACCAAAATACAAAAATTAGCCGGGTGTGATGATGGGTGCCTGTAATCCCAGCTACTTGGGAGGCTGAGGCAGGAGAATGGCTTGAAACTGGGAAGTGGAGGTTGCAGTGAGCTGAGATCACGCCACTGCACTCCAGCCTGGGTGACAGAGTGAGACTCTGTCTCAAAAAAAAAAAAAAAGAAAAAAGTTAATTAAAACTTAACAAGGACCAGGTGCAGTGGCTCACGCCTGTAATCCCAGGACTTTGGGAGGCCGAGGTGGGTGGATCCCTTGAGTCCAGGAGTTCAAGACCAGCCTGGGCAACATGGAAAAACCCTGTATCTACAAAAAATAAAAAAATTTGCCGGGCGTGGTAGTACATGTCTGTAGTCCTAGCTACTCAGGAGGCTGAGGTGGGAGGATCACTTGAGCCCAGGAGGTCAAGGCTGCAGTGAGTCATGATTGTACCACTGTACTCCAGCCTGGGTGAGACCAGGACTCTGTCTCAAAACAAAATTTAAAAAGCCTCAATCATAAAAGGTCATGGCGAATTCAGAGATTTTACATGAAAGGAATGTTATTATGGATCAAGAAAAAAGCATATAAAACTACATATACTATGACAGTGACTACGTTAAAATGCAAGCAGTAAGACTGCCAGAAAAGATGATCAAATAATATTTTGTGTTAAATGACTAAATTATAGGTGATTTTTTTAAAAAGCACAGATTTCCTGTAAGTTGATTATAGGACTTTGATGATTAGAAATTGTCTGAAAATATCATTTGTTCAACAAATTAACCTATCTCCATAAATTCAGCAAAAATTATAATCATTTCACAAGTGAAAAAATTATTTATATATTCTATCAGAAATGTATTAAAATATCTCCTCTACAAAAACTCTTTATTCTCAATGAATAAATTAGCAGTTCTTTTAGAACTTGATATAATTCTTCTAAAACAAGAGCCAGTTTTCTTCCCTCCTGGCTAGTCAAGACAGTCTTTTTAATTAGCAAAGAAATGGGAGGTGGGAGGGGAGGTGTTGGATGGGAACCACACACAACACATGAATAAAGAAATTTAGTCCCTTATTTCCCTTATTTTGCTAGTTCATATTCCACAGAATGTTTCATACATTCTGCAGTAAACAGAAGGGCAATATCAAATGAAATTTTGTTCCTGTGCATTCATTCCATGTACAATTTAAAAATATATTCCACAAGATTGCTTTGAAAAAAAAATAGGTATCTAATATACTTTCCATAAGCTTTACAGTGTAGAGTTTGGGGATGAATATCAAATGCTGTAATTGCGTGTCAATTTTACAAAGCTGTTATCCTTAGGGATTGTCCCTCTTAGGGAATATTTTTGTCTTTTGTCAGTGTTCTCACTCCAACCTGACTGATAGTCAGAATCACCTGAAGAGCTTTTTAATTTCAGATTCCTGGGTTTCAATCCTCCTTCTTCATGTACTGTAACTTCCTTTTCTCTCCCAACCACCAATCTCCTTGCCATTAGTATACCAACAATAAGATAATTTCTCATCAAAAATTGTATTCACTAACCTGTTCCGATTCATAGATCACAGCTTGTTTACTCTGAAGCTCGGCCAAAGACATATCTATTCTCCTAAAATAATAAAGGCATAGTACAATTAAATAATTATGTTATACACTGATACCTTGGTTCTACTATTACAGAATAGAATTTGAAATAAAGCTAGTATGTTTTGGAGAAAGCAAAAGAAACTTGCTACCAGATAGTTTTTCACCTATATGGCAGTCTCCCAGGATATTCATATCCTATGAATCATATTACAGGGAAGCTTTAGTGGTTCTCAAATCAGTAGTCTGTGTAATCTCAACCTTTGCTCTGGTGATATACCGCATTCTCACATGTATTCAAATCAGCTCACAAGACAGGGTACACCGCCTGCTCCAACAAGTGCCAGCAGAAGACACATGGTTTCATCTGGCTGCCCTCAGAACACCTATTTGTGATCACATGAAGCAACCTATGATTTCAATGGCTTAACAACTGTCTTTCATTCTTCTACTGAGGACCTCAGGCAGCAATTACTATTGACAGCAGAAGTGAAGTTAGGTATGTAAGTATTTTCAAAGTCCTACACATTTAAACAATGCTAGTCAATGTTTTCAGTGCATCCTATTCATTCCATCAAAGTGCAGTGGCCAGATAATGCTTGGATTATCCTATTATTTTTGTGAAGGAAATGGAATCCTAGAGTCTACAGCAAGCCCAGGTGAGCAGGTTCAGAAAGCAGCACCTTCCCAAATCTTTTCTGAGGTTTATCCCCATTAGTTAAATGGGTATAATATGGTAATCAATCATTACCTGTGTATTTCTGGATCTGAATTCAATGTAATTTCATTTACATCTGCCTTGTGTGTATCCTGCATTGTTGAGAAACGCTCATGTAAAGTAATACCAGGTGATGGAAAATAATTTGCTGAAAAGGGAAACAAACAGTTTTATCTCAATGTTAAGCTGATTTCACTTAAAAGATTACATATAAGCACAGAAAGAAGGGATTATTTTTTTAAATTCAACCTGTTTTCTCTTAAAAATATGTGCGACCCAAATTTATTTCGCAGACTAATTTGTAGCTCTCACGTGCCTTCCCAAGCCCAAACAAGAGTAAAAATGCCTGATTTATTAATCAAAGAATTTTCTTTCTATCTGACATGCCTGCTTACTTGTCCAGGGGAAAAGACAATGGCTCTTTCAAAGCAAGGACCTTTCTTCTCCAAGGTAAGACTTACTATATCTGGAAAGTAAAGATGGCACAGAGCTTCACAGTTGAATGAAAATAAAAAGTAACTTCAAAAACAAGCCTGAAACATCAAAACAATTTCAAACAAATACTAACTGTTATGTCTGCATATCACAGAAGGCCTTCTAATGCCACTTTACTTTAATTCACATTAAAGTGCATGAAAACACTTAGAAATCAGCTACGCTACACACTTTTAATAGGATACAGAGAAAGAGAATACACTTGGCCCATCAGAATGCTACTTAAGCAATCCTCTTCCCTAATTTACTGTTCCTGTTCTGGGACAATCTCCTGGATTTTTCTGCAAATCAGCTCCATTTCTGCCAAGAATCACATTTCCTTTGGGTGAGAGGAACTGGAGCTGAGAGGATGAACTGTTTCAGACAAACTATGTGCTTTAAAGTAAATACATGCCTCAGTTTGAGGGACGCAGAGAAAAAAAAAACCTCATTTTCAAAATATATTTTATGAAGGTAAGAAAGATTAATGCAATTGTCTAGTAGAAGTACAAAATAAAAAATTTTAAATTCTTGAAGGCCTCCAGCTTGTAATACCTACAACTGCCTTATTTGTGTAGCATCACTGGGGAAAGTTGTTCTATATCACTGAATTTTCCAATTAATGGAAACTCGCCAGGAGCAAAAACAAAACAATTGAATGCAAACCATTAAAAGTATTTATTTATTACGCAACTCCCAGACATAAAGAATGCCAAAGCAAACTAGAAGTTTCATTGATCACTCAGCATCATCCTTAAGATACAAAGTCCTAGGAATGCCCTCATGGGGGTTTAAGAATCATAAAATGACCTAGGCTTCCTGATTTCTTGAGTTTCCTATCTGTTTTTGTTGCTTTTTCCTCCCTGTTAGGTTCCCAGTTATTGTTTCTTACTGCTCTCAGTATGCCTTGTCTTTTGCAGCAGCCAGCCTCTCCCTTTCTAACTTGCAATTTCCAATCTACTAACACTTGAAACACAAGGTTATTGGAACTACATATAAAGAACTAGGCTCAAATGAATGCCTGATACTCTCTTCAAAAGATTTCCTAATTCACAGTCTAGCTTACAAAGAAGTATTAATTACTATTAAACTATACTGCAGGTGTTTACCTGTATCTCGTGAAACGTTACTACATTACTTTTGTGTTATCCCTAATGTATGTGCAAAATATACCAACCTTTAACTTGATGGATTATTGTTATGATTTCCTGAGCAAATTCTCCTGTAGGTTTGTTTTCAGTATTCTGAGTTGAGTCAAGATGTTCAAACACTGGATGAAAGTTCTCACTTTTCCTGCCAACAGCAACCAAATCATGTGACATCTGTCTCTCTGTGGAATAGCTAGAAGCAACCCTAGAATAATTCGCAAATGTTTAACTAAATTTGAAACTATTTTGTGGAGAAAAGAATTTATCAAAAATTAAGATAGCTACAAAACTAAAAAGATGTATATCTTTTCTTATAATTAAGGCACTAAATTCCATGCCATAAAACATGTACAATAACAAGTAGGAGAAATTAACTACAGATACATGGCTCTGAGTTCTTTCAAATCAGAGGTCATTAAATATTTGCCACTTTAATAATAAAATCCTTCAAATTCTAAGTGAAACAATTTTTACTTCAAAAACACAAGGTATTAAAGACACTTACTATGCAAAATGTAATTGATTAGATTATTTTCTACTTCCAAATGGCCAAAATATTGTTAGTCCAGCAAAATTATTTTATCTTGAAATACTACCACACTTTAAAAAGCCGATATCAAACATAAGAACCTCTCTAACTTAATAAAAATCCTTATATCTTTATATCAGTAATAAGAAGCTTAGAATTGTATTTTGAAATAAAATTCTGTTAAGAGGTTAACTTAATTACAAAGTCTCACTAAATTCTCAGAAAATAGTCTTAGCTGTTAGGCAAAGTTATGGTCATTAACACCAGTTACAGTGTTCACCCTCAATGTACCCATAAAGAAATACTACCATTTATTATATAACCCCGGCTATCTTACCACTTTAATGCCTTCTGAATCTTATAACTTTTGTTAAGAGCTCTCCTGACCTCTAAGTACTTTTACAAACTAATGGTTATGATACAGAGCTAACTATTATTGAGGGCTTATCACGTGCCAAACATGGGGGCTTAGAGCTTACCAACATTATCTCATTTCATCTTTACAATAGCCCTATGGGGAAGGTGCCACGACCCTGAGACAATGGGCGTCTTGGTTGCTTTGTCTCACATCCTAGAGATTGAGCATTCAAATGAACACATCTTCCAACTGTTGTAATGAAAAACTATACCTTATTCCAAGAATGCTGTGCTTGCTTAAAACTACTCAGAAATTCTTTGTCTGGAGGTACTTTATGCATCAATGAAGAAATTTTCTCATTATTTTATAATTATATCTCATTTTGGACCCAAAATGGCACTAATCAGCTTGTACCTATCTTATTTCCCTGTACTTAACTCTAAATTGCTTTTGGCTTTTCTCAAAAATCAAGTTCATTGTCCAAAGAACTGACATTTGCAACTGCTGGGGTTCTTAATGGCTACATTACAGGCTCAGAAGATAAATCCGAAAGAGAGCCCTGAAGTATGTTTTAAATAACAGAGCACCACTGGAATAGCTCATCATATAGCAGAAAGCAGACCGACAGATGTGTCGGGGGGTACGAGTGCATGCATGCACATATGTATTTATTTATTTAAGTCCTGTAACAGCCATATATCTAAACTGCTGCAGGGTTATAAGGGGCTTACAGATATTCTTTAACTAAAAATTGTAGCTCCTCTAATAAAAATGGTTTTGAGTGTCTATTTATAACTTATCAGAGGAAATGCTTCCATCTGACTTTCCGTGCTCCCTGCTCTCAGACCAGCATTGCCAGGGACAACTCCGTGCCAAGGCAGAAACACAGAAATGGAACCATGCAGCAGGTTGACCGCACTGCTGTGGTTTCGTTGATTCATTAGAAGGACTTTCATTAGAAAGAAGGCGCATTTCCCTTCTTTCCTCCTAATTTGCTCCAAGCTTCCCACTGTGTATGTGATAACTAGCTAAGACACATTTGCTGGCAAATGTTAGAACACCCCGTAACGACCTCCACTAACAAAGAATTACAAATGCTCTCTGTTTAAGGGGGTTTAAAGTTACAAAATTCCGGTGCCATACCAAAAAAAAAAAATAGCCTTTAAAAACATTTTATGGGAGGAAACTAGTATATTTAAATAGAACTATACAAATGGTCCATACACCAGAGGAAATCAGTTGATAAGGTTTTTTTCTGGCAGCCTCAGTTTATCCCAAAAGGAAATAAGCTAATAAAGATGTTCAGTTTTCCAATGGGTAATTATTAACATTTACTTAAAATTTCTTACAAATTACTGCTGAAACTCTTGTCCCCACTCCATGCTCAATCCTCAATCCGCAGGAGTTATATACTTTTAACTATGAAGCTATTATATATTTAATTCCTGAAATCTTAGTGTTTAAACTTGTTATCCATTAAAATTTATCCTAGAGTTCCTCTACTACAAGATATTTAAGAAAAAATTAAAATTATCATTTTCTAGAAAATATACATTAACACAGTAAAACCTCCAAATTTTAGTCTTTTAAAAATAATTATGATACTTTTGGTATAAGAAAAACCCTCTTTAGATATGAGAATGCAAAATGTTCTAAATATTTATATTTGTAAATGTAATCATCTTTTGGTTCACATTTTACTTTTTACTATTTCCTATGGTATGGATTGATTAACAAGTTAATAATTTCAGGAAATATCCACAAAGCAAGTAGTTAAGCTAAAAAGATCAAATGTTCTCATTTGAGATGCATTTTAGACAATTTAAAAAATTAAAATACAGCCAAAAATCTCTATTCTAATACTATTTCTGGTACTAGTTTCATTAAATCTTCCAAGATCCTTTGTTCCCTCAACTGCACTTTCCCTGTTTATTTTTCTGTTTAAGGATATTTCCACTGATGTTCTCTGAGCGTTGTGGGTAATAACCAAGAAAACATAAAAAGCTACATTAAACCTTAATTTCCTGTTGTACACACTTAGGACTCATCAAAGAAACGAACTGCATGGCAAAACGGCAACAAAAAACCCAACAGCAGCCAAAACCAACAGATTCCCCTGCCCTCTGGAAGCTTCTCATATATATCAAAATCCATATGACACATATAAAGTTTTCCTTTCTGTCTTCTTCCAACTAATAACTAACACTTCATACAGCATCCTACAGTTCATATAAAGCACTTTCCCAATTACAGTCACATGCAGCATAACGACGTTTCCATTAATGACCACTTAAATGATGGTGGTACTGTATTTCTAGTGTACCTTTTCTAGGTTTAGATATGTTTAGATACACGAATAGTTACTGATGTGTTACAGTTGCCTACAGTATTCAGTACAGTAACATGCTGTGCAGGTTTGTAGCCTAGAAGCAATAGGCTCTACCATATAGCCTAGGTGTGTAGTAGGTTATATCATCTAGGTTTGTGTAAATACACTCTATGATCTTCAGAAAGTGGCAAAACCGCCTAACAAGACATTTCTCAGAACGTATCCCCATCGTTGAGCAATGCATGACTGTATATAATTTGCTCCTGTCTTCCTAAGAACAAATTTAGAAATTGTGGAGTCGAGGGAAAAGGTTCAGGGAGATTACTCCTCCCCTCATTCCGCATCTCAATACTTTTTGCACAAAAGTCCTCTAGGGGGCCTCCCCAGCCCCAACATGCATTCAGTCTACCTCATAGACGACAACCCTCTGGCAGCCAGAACTGGGCTGCCGGCCCTCTCCTATCAGCTGATAATGTCAAATCTGGCTGGGAGTTGCAGCATTCTTACCTTTCAGTCTCCTTTCCCTCTATTCCTTTTCACTGCTCAAAACCACACAGGTCAAAGTTCCTGTGTATGTTTTACTGCCATTGTTAACATGTAAATATAAAATTTCTTTTGCCTCATCTCCATGTGTTTGAAATACACCAGCCTTTGAAGCCTAGCTCACATGTCAACTACATGATGCCTCTCTTCAATTTCCCAGCTTGGTACCACCCATCTTCTGCTGAGTCACACATGCACTCCAATAAACCAAAGGAGAAACCTAATCGTATGCAGCTCTCTAGTCCCAGGGCACCCTAACAGACTGTCTCACACAGGGTAGGTCCTCAAAAAATACCCACTGAATGAATAAATAATGAATCAAAAATGACTTGGTCAATTTGAAATGAGTGTTTCAGCTAAAGAGATGATAAGGTCAAGTGCAGTGGCTCACGCCTGTAATCCCAGCTACTCGAGAGGCTACAGTTTCGGAGGCCAAGGCAGGAGGATTGCTTGAGCTCAGGAGTTCAAGACCAGCCTGGGTAACACAGCAAGACCTCATCTCGACTAAAAATCAAAAAAAAAAAATTAGCCAGGCATGTTGATGTGTGCCTATAGTCCCAGCTACTCGAGAGGCTGAGGTGGGAGGATTGCTAGAGCCTAGGACATCAAGGCTGTAGTGAGCCGTGATCACAGCACTGCACTCCAGCTTGGGTGACAGAGCAAGACTGAGTGAGAGAGAGAGAGAGAGAGAGAGAGAGAGAGGACTTCAACATTTTATTTTTATTTTATTTTTGAGACAGGGTCTGGCTCTGTCACCCAGGCTGGAGGGCAGTGGCACAATCTCGGCTCACTGCAACCTCTGCCTCCTGAAGCCAACCTCCCACTTGGGCCTCCTGATTAGTTGGGACTATAAGTGTGCACCACTACACCTGGCTAATTTTTGTATTTTTTGTAGAGACGGAGTTTTACTATGTTGCCCAGGCTAGTCTCAAACTCCTGAGCTCAAGGGATCTGCCTGCCTCGGCCTCCCAAAGTGCTGGGATTACAGGCATGGGCCACCATGCCCAGCCAGACTTCAACATTTTAATTGAGGCCAATTTAATTTTGTTTTTTTAACTTTCTTGGCTTTTTTTATTTTTATTTTTTGCTTAACTTAGACCAATTTAAATTTAATATTTTTAATATAAAATCTCAAATATAAAGTTCAGAGATGAACATGATGATCCTCCATGTGTCTGTCGACTCAGCTTCAATGGTCACCAACACATGGCCAATCCAAGCAGACTCACAGAGCCAGGAGGAACTGCAGGCTAATTTAGGCCCAAAAGGTTATAGCCAAGTGACCTGCCCAATGTCACAAAGCTGATCAGTGGTCCACAGGAAGACAAAAACCTATGCACTCTAACTGCCAACAGAATCCCTATACAAGGCCTCCTAAGAGACACCAAGAGAAGCTAGGGTCAAAAATAGGAACAAAAGGGAACGTTCTCTCAATTAATTTTTGATTTTAAAATGCGCATGAGAAATTAAAGTAGGGGAGAACTTTAGTTTTTTATGCTACATAACAGCAAGGTGGCAGGTCTGGGTATAAAATATATCCCCACCTGCAGCTTATTTTACCTCCAGCGGAACAGTGTCCATCATAGGTAAACTTATGTGAGTAGGTTCCCTTCCTTCAATCTCAGTTATGACTTTTCACATTGTTCCCTGCCCGCATGACACCCGTTTCCTCAGTGTCAGGGTTCCAATGTCCTCTGGGGCCCATCACCCACCTCCCCCCCTTTCAAAGCGGAAAAAGAGCTGATAGGGGTAGAGAGGCTCTGTGTCTCTTCAGTGGGAAATAAAGGATTAGACGCAAATGTGGCCAATGTACTTAGTCCACCATCAACTCTGATAGCCATAAATGCTGATGGACAACCTTCCCCATGTCCCAGGTGTCTCGTATCAGCTTCCCAGGTGATCAAAGAAGCCCCTGATCCATCAGCAGCAGTTTATTCTGCTCCAGATATTAGTACCACCTCCTCCCTCCTCCCTCTCCCTCCTCCTCTTCCTTCCTGGCCTAGCCAAGGGTCAATCCCTCACCCACTCAGCCCAACATTAAACTAACACCTGCATTTGCCCCAAAACTTTCAGATGCATATATACAACAGTTAATGTTTTGCATATGTAACAACCTTAGTAGAAATTTTCATACTGATTCCCTAACTTACATTCTGAAACATGTAATTATGACTCAGATGTAATTTCTGATAATGAAGTTTCTGACAGAGCGGATAATTAGAATACAGTCTTTCTTAACGGAAGTATTAACTATGCAGTGAACATTCAAGCAAGTGTTTACCTACTGCTGTTCTAGATACAAACTAGAATCTAAAAAACTCACAGAGTGATAACCTTTTGTTTTCAACCATACTGATAACTGGAATAACAAATATCAATTCTCAACCAAAGCTAAGTAAACAAATGCACAAAACTAGCCATTTTAGCATTTCCAAAAAAAAGCAGATGAACTCTCTAGATGTTAACCAATAAATAAAGTTCTCTCTGCACTCTGATTATTTTACTCTTTTCTAGAAAAGAAAAATCTAATTTATATTAATAGATGAAAACATAATTCTACTGAGGGCATTATCTTTGTTTTATGGATCAGTCCACATACAATTAAATCCAAACCACAAAATTCATCCATAACCCATTCACCAGGAAATAAAGATTTTGTTGACTATGACGCTTTATCATACTGAAAAGATGCATATATTTGCTCAGTTATTTATTTTTCAGGTCTTTGAACAGAGAGGATTTGCAGTGGAGGTTATTACACAAGAAATCCTGCAGGCCCTGGGCAGGTATTCAAATGGCCCTGGTATGCTGCCAGACCCCAGTGACAGATTATGAGATTTCACAAAATCATAGTTTATAAATTCAAAATAAAAGATGCAGCAGCCTCCATTTTAAGCTCATTTTTGTGACACATGATAAAGATCAAGCTTCCATTTCTCATATCAAATTATAAAATTAACTGTTCAGTATCTCTAATGAGGTCTATTAAAATAAAACTCTTCAAAACTGGTATTTCTAGCATTCTTTAACAGTGTTACAATTTTTAAATTCTCCTTTCACTATAACACACTTCATTATTAAACATGGGGGTATCATTACTTTTATTTTTTTAGTTTTAATTTTTGAGACGGGTCTCGCTTTGTCACCCAGGCTGGAGTGCAGTGGCACAAACATGGCTCACTGCAGTCTCGATCTCCCGGGCTCAAGCCAATCCTCCCATCCCAGCCTCCCAAGAAGCTGGGACTACAGGCACATGTTACCACACCCAGCTAATTTTTGTATTTTTTTGTAGAAGTGGGGTTTCATCATGTTGCCTAGGCTGGTCTCGAACTGCTGAGCTCAAGCAATCAGCCGGCCCTAGCCTCCCACAAATGCTGGGATTACAGGTGTGAGTCATTGCACCTGGCCACATCATTACTTTTATTAAAAAGTTAAAAATGTTTATGCATTTCATTGTATATAATTTTACCTCAAAAGAAAAAAGAGGAACTGTAAACAAAAATTTATAAGGTATCTAAATGGGAGTGTCCTGACATTTGCAACTTACTTTGAAAAATATCCAAAAAATAAGGTGGAACAATGGATGAATAGATACATTTGTAATTATGAAAGTAAACTGTTAATTGTAGACTTTAGGTGGTGAGTATATGGGCGTTCACTGTAGAATTCTTTCAGCTTTTCTGTATGTTTGAACATTTTCAAAATAGAACGTTGGATAGAAAAAAAGCTTAAGGCTGGGTACGGTGGCTCATGCCTGTAATCCCAGTGTTTTGGGAGGCCAAGGAGGGATGATTGCATGAGGCCATGAGATTGAGACCAGCCTGGGCAATGTAGCAAGATTTCTATCTCTACAAAATATTTTTTATTAGCTGGGTGTGGTGGTACATGCCTGTAGTCCCAGCTACTCAGGAGGCTGATGCAGGAGAATCACTTGAGCCCAGGAGTTCAAGGCTGCAGTGAGCCATGATCACACCACTGCACTCCAGCCTGGGTGACAGAGCATGACCCTGTCTTGAAAAGAAAAAAAGAAAGAAAGAAAAGTGTGTATGCTATATGTTATATATGTATATCTCATAGCCATCAGAATGTAATCCAATAATCCAAGCTCCCCTCCCTTTTTTTTTCTTTTTTTTTTTTTGAGACAGAGTCTCACTCTATTGCCCAGGCTGGGGTGCAAAGGCACGATGATAGCTCACTGCAGCCTCAAACTCCTGAGCTCAAGCGATCCTCTGACCTCAGCTTCCCAAAGTGCTCCGATTACAGGCATGAGCTACTGTGCCCAGCCGTTAAGGTAACATTCTTAAACTTGGTACTTACAGAAGCTTTTGTGCTTTTAAGATGAAGAACTAGTAGGAGATATAATAGCACAAAATTATTTAAGACATATGTAAAAAGGTACAAAATTATTAATATACCACAGCAGTCATGTATAAATATACATAAAAAAATAACTAGACTAAAATGCAAATAAAATTGTTGTAGAGTAGTAGAATTATGGATGATTCTCCCCCTTTATTTCTTCAACTTTCTGTAATATAATCACACTTATAAATGCTTTCTGAGCACATATATAAATGCACATACGTATATTTAAAAATATTTTCTACAAGTGCAATGAATGCAAAAGAACTATGAGGTGGGGTGTTGCCATGTCTAAATTTAAGAAAAGGAACAGAGGCCAGGTACAGTGGCTCAGGCTGGTAATGCCAGTGCTCTGGGAGGCCGAGGTGAGAGGATCGTTTGAGGCCAGGAGTTTGAGACCAGCCTGGGCAACATAGCAAGATTCCGTCTCTATAAAAAAAGAAAAAAATTAGCTGGGCATGGTGGCATGCACCTATAGTCCTAGATACTCAGGAGACCAACACAGGAGAGGCAGGAGGATCATCTGAGCCCAGGAGTTTGAGGTTGCAGTGAGCTGTGATCGTGCCACTGCACTCCAGCCTGGGCAACACAGCAAGACCCTGTCTCAAAAGAAAAGGAGAGAAAAGAAAAAGGAACAAAAAATATTTTGTTTTACAAAAAAGGACTTGTGGGTTTATCTCCCCCAAACCCTTTGGATTTTGTTTTCTCTCATTTTTGGTTCAAAAACAAATGAGTCAAGCATGAATATAAACATACCAAATCAACATGGCCCACCCCTTTTCATTCACATACTCGTAGTGTATTAAGGTCATGAACAGTTTCAGCCGTTTAGTTTTAGGCCAACTGCAGTGCCTTATTATATACATTAAATGGAAGTAATATTTGTTGAGGAACAAAGCACGTGAGTCTGCTTTAAGAGAATGTAACCTATAACAACAATAGTCTATTTTTTTAAAGAATCACTAAGGGCCAAAGTAAATGTCTTATAAATAGGCATCTTCTCAGATTATGGTGTAATTTCCTCTACCTGGGAGAATCTAGTTGGTTGAGCCCCAGTCATTTTGAGATGGCAGCAAAAACCACATTAAGTCACCTGCCTCATTGAGTCATAAGGGAACACGTGGATTTGAGCCCAAGCCACTCTGACTTAGACAAGTCACTTCATCTCTCAGGGCCGCGCTTTCCTCCTGTATAAAACTAGGTCCTGCTAAGGTCCCTTTCAGCTCAAAAAATTCTCTGAATCTCAGGCAACAGAAAGCACAGGCTCTGAGAAACTGAGCAAGGACTAGGTTTTCTTGAACTCTACCCAGCTAATCCTTGGATAAGGAAAACCTGGCAGCATAAAAACAAGTGAATTTGTAAAGAGGAACAACTCCACAGAACGCCCCACATCCAAGAAGCATCTGGAGATAGGACGTGGAAACAAGGAGACACGAAATCGCTCCCATGTAACTAATCACAGGAAACAGCCTCACTACAGGGCTTTTTTTGGGGAAAATTCTTGGCAATCCCTCCCACTCGATGGACTCTAAACACACTATTAATTCCATTTTGGAAGCTGCAAATAAAGATTGTAGAAACATTATCAAATATCATAAAGAAAAAACAAAGATAATACCTGAATGTATTTACTGTTTTCTTCACATCTACTTTAACTGTAAGTGATTTCTTCCTAAGATTGATAGGCGAGGGTTTCACATCAGAAAGTTTTTGACTTTTATCAAGTTGGTTACTGGAAGAATTGCTCTCTTTTCTGCAATCCCCTTCTTTCTTTATTTTTTCCTTCCGTTTGTCATTACTAGACCTCAAATCAACATCATTTTTATTTGGATAAGTACAGGCAATGCTGTCTTTCTTAGACGGTTTAAAAGGTTCTTTGACTTGTCCATCTTGAGTCTCTCTCCCTCTTCCAGTATTAAAACAATCTAACTCTCTATTTACAGGGCCTTTTTGAAAACTGTATTTTCTATCTTCTTCCTTACAGTACTTCTGAGTTCTCCCATCAGAAAAGTCCTGGTCCCCATCCGAGAGCTTAGGACGTTTGTGACGATAGTCATAGGATACTTTGGTTGCTGAACTGGTCTCTGGGTGTTCCCTCTCAGCATGTCGATAAGTCTGGGGCCCAAGGTTCCACTGGTCTGTGTCCTCTTGGTAAGGTGGGAGGGAATGCTCGGGCTTCCACTTTGGATTCCTGGCAGGCTCTCTGCTTTCATACCTCTCCACGTCTTTAGGTCTTTTTGATGTATGTCCATATTTTCTGAAATCACGATCCTCAGGATACCTGTGTTGACATAAAGCAGTTTACACTTGCAATAGAGAGAAGAAAGGGAGAATTTATATGTGTAGAATGTTGGGCAGCATGGCTTTAAATGCAGAATGCAGTGGCAAGCTAATCTATAATCCCTTAAGCCAATTCTAGAGGCATAAGGCAGTTAAAGAGGAAAATACCATCTTTTAAAAGTATTGTAGCCATCAACGTGATTTACTGTAAAAAGAAATACTTCACTACTACCAGTACACCATAACTAAATTACAATGCTTTTTGTCTTTTTAGACAAAAGCTTTTCAAGGTGGTTATCTTCAACCATAAAGTAAACAGACCTTTTCACTTGAGGCATTATACCAAATTACCCAGGTTTAATGTTTTCCTATACCTCTTCTGAAATGAGCTCCTTGTCTCAAAGTCTTCAGAGCCTCTTCTAGTTGACTGGGAGTATTTTTCTTCTTGTATCCTCTGGTGCCTCAACTCATCTTCATGCCACTTTCCTTCAAATCTAAAAGAATCTGCTATTGACCTCTGAGGTGGTTTCCCTCCTTTTCCACTTCCTCTAACTCTGTGGTCATCAGGACTATACCCTCCTTGCACTTTCTGGGGATAAGAATTCCTCTCATGCTCTTTGTAGGGTATACCCTCTGAGTATTTGGGCATATACTGAGCTCTCCTGTTACTGTCCCCTCTTCCAGGCGAATATCCTCGGTGAGGCTTATACATATAAACATTTTCTAAAGAGTTTCTTATGTTAGGGGAAGGTGATCTATGTTCATAAGACTGGTAATATATATTTCCACGAGAGGGAATCCTTGGTTTACTCTGTCCACGTTTCTCACTGTCCATTCTCCAAGCGACGGGTCTTTTTGGATCCTTCCTATATTCACAGCCATAATGCCCGTGAGAATGTCTTTGCTTGTAGTGTTCAGCATTTCTAGGTACTGGCGATAAAGACCTATGTAAACAAACACAGAAAAGTGTAATCCATTTAAAGATAATCAACTAAGTGTGTCTTAATATGACCTACCGAAAACAGTTGCTTTTCCTAGGACCCTTCAGCTTCTTCCACTCAAACTAAATTCATCAATTTGCTACATCTGCATTCTAAATTGTACATTTGGGGGTCTGACTATAGTACTGCCCAATCAACAAGCATACTCTTTCCATCTGAACTAAGGTATTCCATGTGCTGATCCAAATGAGCTGAGCACACCTTTCCCATTGGAGGAGGGCTAGCTTAGGTACACAGCAGGATCCATTTTAGAAGACTGCTGACAGCAAAGTTCTGGCAAAAGAAGATGCAGTGACTTCAAAGGGCCAGTCAGCAAAAGCTTACATCCTGCTCAAAGGCCAGGTAAGAAACAAGCAGGAAGGCAAGACTCACACAAATCAATGTGTAGGAGGGCCTCCAGCAAACTGAACACCACCTCTGACAATAAATTAGAGTCTAAGATTTAATGATGCTACAATTCAAACTCAGAACCAAGCCAGGCCCAGAGCTTCTCCAGTTGATTGTCTACTTTCTCCACTAAGGCTGTATCAAGGAGCAAAACATATGTACTCAACCGGGGGAGAAGGGGGAACAAGAGGCTCTTAAGACTTGAATCTCATGTTTAATTCCTCCAGAAATACCTCTAACATAGGTAAGTTGCTTTTTGTTCCCAGATCTGTTCCTTTGCATATCGACGGAAAGATGTGCTGTTCGAACAGAGCTTGTAACTTTGGTGAAGTTATACTTTAAAGTAGCTATAATGCTCTCCAGGGACAGCACATCCTTTCTGGAACTACCTTCTCCATACCTCAGCATTGCCAACATTGAGGCTTCTGTATTCAGGGAAACCAATTTGGGTTGCCTAGACGTAAAGAGAGGTGTGCCACTATCTGGGACACAATACAGTTCCATTTTGTACCTGGGGACCTTTCCCCCCATCTGACCTGCCCAATTTCTCCATCTCCTCCCTGAGGGTTTAATGTCTTCTAATCAATGAGGAAGCAATCCTTGCAGCTTCTGTTATGGCTCTCTCTGAGAAGCGGCCATGGAGTTGGTGCAACCATGAGTGAATCCCTTTCCTTTCGATGATAAGTCTGTGCCCTCCCTACAATAAAGGAGGTAGATCTACCTTCCTCATGTATATACTGAACTTGGCAATATTGCCCTCTGGAGTCACCAAGCTAGACATACCGGCAAGTGTTATTTAGCTAAAGCAGAAACTCTGCCATCCAGCTGGCTATACCTCATCACAGGAGGAAGCAACTGGAGCCTCTGAGGACTTCTGGAAGATTTCATCTCTTTCATAGCCAAGGAGAAAAGATGGCAGCCAGAGTCAAAGGTCTTCCAGTCTGGATGGAATTCCCAATAACTTACTTTTAATCCTTACTTCACATTCAATATTGGTTTGATATGATATTTTATATGTTTTATTGCATAGTGTCCCTTTCTTCTGAAGAAGGTTGCTGGAATAGTTGCTATTGCTTTTGGTTTTCCTAAAGGAACAAAAAAGACTCAAGGAGTCTATTGGGAGACAATTCTCCACAGTCTCTTGAGTTCTGCACACCTTGTGAGCGCCTTTTGAGCAGAGGCACTGGCAGCCTTTGTTCTAAGGCAGTGTTGCAAGATAGAGATAGGGTCTCCCTCAGGGAAAAGGGTTGATGTGTTTGCTGTCCATTATTTGCAGCCCCTGATAAGGGACTCATGTTCCTCAGTTGTACTGTAACCGCACCGCCTGTATGGAAAGCTCGCTGCCTCATAGCATGCACCCAGTCAGTGGCTCTGCGGTGCCAGCCCTCATGGGACCCAGAGGGTGAGGGGAATGACAGGAACATGAAGCTCAAGCTGCTTGCTGTACTCTGAGTAATAAAGGCCTTTATCTCTGACCCAAGAGTGCCCTGTGGCAGGCTAATAATGTGTTAGTTCGCAAGTAGGGTAAAATATCAGATCCTTTATAGTTCTTAACAAAGAAACCTGAGATGGAACCTGGAAATCAGGCACTGAGCTTGGCAGGGTCTCTTGTGCCCCTCACCAGCGGCTTTTGTCTTATCAAGAAAAGACCTCTGTGGGCCAGGAGCGGTGGCTCACACCTGTAATCCCAGCACTTTGGGAGGCCGAAGCAGGTGGATCACTACGACAGGAGATTGAGACCATCCTGGCTAACACAGTGAAACCCCGTCTCTACTAAAAATACAAAAAATTAGCTGGGTGCAGTGGCGGGTGCCTGTAGTTCCAGCTACTCAGGAGGCTGAGGCAGGAGAATGGTGTGAACCTCGGAGGCGGAGCTTGCAGTGAGCCGAGATCGCGCCACTGCACTCCAGTCTGGGTGACTGAGCGAGACTCCATCTCAAAAAAAAAAAAAAAAAAAAGACCTCTGTGATACCCTTTTAAAATCATTCACTTCTTTACATTCCCTTTTCTTTCTCAAATTCCTTGCCATTACAAGTTGCTCCTGTGAATTACAAAATGAAAACTGTTGACAAAATGATTGATTAGTTACTGCATAACCGAAACGCATAAGCAAAATGGGCAAGTTATCGTAACATGAAAAATCTTGGTCTGTCTTTTTTGTGTGAAATGATGGTCCTTTTTAAGTCTCAGAAAATACTAGTCACATTTACAGCTCGGTGCCTTTGCTCCTGCTCTCCCCCTTAACTAGAATACTTCTCTTCACTCTTTCTGCCTTTAGAAGTTCTACACATCCTGAAATGCCCAGATAAAATTGTTTTCATCTCTTCTTTGAAGACTTTCTTAGTACCCCCATTTCCCTCCACAAAAACACAATTATTTCCTCCCTGAAAATCCAGAATCCTTTGTCCCAATAAGTAGCACAGCACTTTCCCCACTGTATCATAATTGGCCATGGTGTCAATCTCAAAGCCCAACCACGTGCTTGCTGAAGCCACAGAAGATGGCATATTTGCTTTTGTAGACCAAGAACCTGCCTGTAGCAGGTGTACAATAAAGACTCGTTAAATTGCTCCAATCTAATGATACATACTTTTGATACTACCAAGCTGGAAAGAGGAGAAATGGACTATAATCAAACTATTCAAAAGGAAACTCCCAATTTTCTACCTCGAAATTTCTTTAAACATATTAATTATGAAAAAATAAAATGAAATCCATACTGAGGAGTTCTAAATTACTCACTAATTCAAAAAATGTAATACTCTCAAAGATGTTTCTCACTCTCTCCTGCTGTGGCCACTGCTTTGCTTTTCATTATGGATTAACTCTAGCTACCTTCTATGATTAAACAAAGCTGTCAGCTACTAGAATGTAGAAATACAACCTCTACTATGATAAAGTACCTACTGTGAATAACCAGGTCTCATGAGCTTATTAAGCGTTTACTAGTACTGGTGAAATTGAAAGTCACAGCACATCCCAAATCCAAGCTTACTCTGCTAAGAACTGCTCACCTGTGTTTCCACCTGGGGGATCTAGATCGTGACCGTGCCATCCTCTGACACGTGAGCCACTATCCACTTTTTACACTGCAAAGAAACACAGGATTAGCAAGTTTGTAGAAAGAGCCTACAATTTGATCTAAAACACAGCGAATGCTGCCAATTTACTTAAACCCTTTGTGCCTCAGTTTCCTCATCTATAACATGGAAATAATAATAGCACCCCTTCTTATTGGAATGTTGTCAGGATAAAATGAATTAAATCAGGGATCAGTAAACCTTGTCTGCAAAGTGCTGAATAGTAACTATTTCAGGCTTTGCAGGCCATATAAGGTCTCTGTCACATCTGTTTCTTCTTTTTTTTAAAGCAACTCTTTAAAAATGTAAAAATGTGACTAGACAACATTGAGAAGTGCCGTAAGTATAAAATCCACATCAAATTTCAAAGAGTTCATATAAAAAATGTAAAATGTTTTATTAATGTATTTCTAATATTAACTACATGTTGAAATATTTTAAATATACTAGGTTAAAGGCACTATATTGGTCAAAATTAATTAAAAAAATAAAAGTACAAAAACTATTTAGCTCAAGTGGGTCATACAAAAATAGGCCCGGCAAGTCAAATGCACTGTAGTTTAATGACCCCTAAATTAAATCATAAAAAGAGCTTATTGGTATCTGGCACACAGCAACTGCTAAATAAGTATTCCAAAAAGAGGAAAAATTACCCAGAATTCCTCTATCTGAATACAAGCACTACTACTTTCCTGTCTTTCACCATGTACAGAAACACTTCATATAATCACAGTTAAAATGTTTAGGAATACATGGTGGTATACACTGCTTTTTAAATTGTTGGATTCTAAGAATTACAATTTCTTTTTTTAATTTTTTTTTTTTTTTTTTTTTGAGACAGGGTTTTGCTCTTTCACCCAGGCTAGAGTGCAGTGGTGCAATCACAGTTCACTGCAGCCTCGACTTCCCAGGCTCCAGCGATGCTTGACCTCCCAAGTAGCTGGGACGACAAGTATGCACAACCACACCTGGCTAATTTTTGTATTTTTGGTAGACACAGGGTTTTGCCATGTTGCCCAGCTTGGTCTGGATCTCCTGAGCTCAAGCAATCCTCCGACCTTGGCCTCCCAAAGTGCTGGGATTACAGGCGTGAGCTACCACAGCCGGTCAGAATTACAATTTCGAATATTCAACTGCTGCCTAACTTTCCACCAGACAAATATACCCAAAATGTAACTGAACATTATTAGACACTTAGTTTGCTTCTGGTTTTTTGCTAAAACAAATAATGTTAAATAAGTAAATTTTAAAAGGCACTTCTAAACTTGGTTTTTCAAATATTCTCCAGTCTTTAAAAGAAACTGATAGCTTCAGAAACTGATTTTTAAAAATACATAAGTAGGTATAATCTCCTATACTAGCTATTATTTATAACTCAGTAGTCCTCAGTTCTGATACCAATATTAAGTAGTTCCTAACTTAGTGGTCCCAATCCCCTGGTGGCTTCTAAAACGACTGCCATGGGCTCATGAATGATCATATAGCTACCATGTACAGACTACCGAATAAACAAGTATATGTCTCATGTATTATGCACCTCGATTTTGCAAATTTCTGAAGATACTATGGTGAAACTAAAATATAAAGACTTCTTGTCACTATGCAGTTTTTCCACCCACAGATACAAAAAGTACAATTATTACGTAGACATCAGTTTAAAAGGCGGTCCTCATACTCAAACGTTTGCAAACTACTGTTATCCTGAATTTCAGAAGAAAGTAAAAGCATATAAAGTCAGAGAACTTGAACTAGATCACTCATCAGAGGAAGTACAATCAATTCAATTCATTTAGTTATACACAGCCTCTTTCGAAAAAGATTTTGAGGCTAAGAACAATTAGCTCACAAAGTATTACGAAATTAAAACACTAAAGGAAAAAAATGTTTACTTAGTAACTAGAAGTATCAAAATGTATTCACTTGGCCTGGCCTGGTGGCTCACGCCTGTAATCTCAGCACTTTGCAAGGCTGATGTGGGTGGATCACCAGGTCAGGAGATCGAGACCATCCTGGCTAACACAGTGAAACCCCGTCTCTACTAAAAATACAAAAAATTAGCCGGGTGTGGTGGTGGGCACCTGTAGTCCCAGCTACTCAGGAGGCTGAGGCAGGAGGATGGCGTGAACCTGGGAGGCAGTGCTTGCAGTGAGCCGAGATCGTGCCACTGCACTCCAGCCTGGGTGACAGAGCAAGACTCTGTCTCAAAAAAAAAAAAAAAAAAAAAAAAAGTAATCATTTAACAAATTTTGCTGTGTACCAATTATTTGCCAGACACTGTTCTAGGGCTACAGCAGTGAACAAAAACAGGCAAAACTTCCTGCTCTGATAGAGATTACATTCAATAGGGAAGTTATAATTTAAATAAACTCTGGGTATCAGTTCATACCTATTAAATTTAACAAAAATAATAAACCCAAAGGTGGTAATTTTTTTGGGGGGGGGGTAACAAAAATATTGCTGATGATAATGAGAAAGGAAAATTTTTCTGGAGCATAATCTTTTTTTCTTTTTTAAAAACAAAACATATTTATTGATGTTGAATTCACACGCCATACAGTTTACCCATTTAAAGTGTACAATTCAATGTTTTTTAGTATATTCACAGTGATATACAACCATTATCACTGTCTAGTTGTAGAACATTTTCACCCTCCCAAAAGAGACCCTATTAGCTGTGACTCCCCACTTTTCCCCTCCCCTGCTTAGCCCGTTTCTATGGATCTGCTTATTCGAATCATTTCATATAAATGGAATCAAACAGTATGTGGTTTTTTTGTGACTGGCTTCTTTCACTTAGCATGTTTTCAAGATTCACCTGTGTTGTAGCATGTATCAGTACATCATCCCTTTTTATGGTAGAATAATAGACATTTCACTGTATGGGTACATTACATTTTGTTCATTCATTCACCTCTCCATGCATATTTGGGTTGTTTCTACCTTTCAGCTATTATAAATAATGCTCTTACGAACATTTGTGTACAAGTTGTTGTGTGGACATATGTTTTCATTTCCTTGGGTATATACCTAGGAGTGGAATTACTGGGTCACTTGGTAACTCTATGTTTAATTTTTTGAGGATCTGCCAAACTTTTCCAAAGTAGCTGCACCATTTTACATTCCCATCAGCAGTGTATGAGGGTTCTAATTTTTCTACATCCTCACCAACACTTACTATATTTTTGACTATAGCCATCCTAGTGGGTATGAAGTGGTATCTCATTGTGGTTTTGATTTGCATTTCCCTAATGACTAATGGAGAGTAATCTTGAAACATGTAAGAAACTATGAAACTAATCATACCTCCTTTCCTTTAATCTAGTAATTTCAGTTTAAACTTGTTTTAAAAAATAATTCAAAAGAAAAAAATCAGCTGTGTATACTAAGATGTTTGTATCAGTTTTATTTATAATAGTAAAGAAAAAAAGCCCACAAAAACTAATAACCCAAATGCTCAACAAAAAAGATTAAATGAATGTAAGATAAATACATCTAGTTGCTTCCTACCTTTTTCCCAGCCTTATGTATGTCTTTTCCTCCACACACCCTACTAGTCCCCTACACCACACTACTCGCTTTCCCTGATCAGGCCGTGCCGGTCCAGCACATGTATGGCCTTCCCTCAGTCAGCTTGACAAACCCCTATTCTCTCCTGACTGTGTAACTATCACATCCCCTAGGACTCTTTCCTGGACTTTCTTTTTTTTCCCTCTGGGCTTCTTTCTCCTTGGGAATTCTGGGTTTATTTTGCAATTATTTCAACACATTGTATTTATTTACATAATTGTATTTATTTCTATAGGCAAAAGACTCCATTATTACAGAACACAAAACTCAAATGACCTATGAACATATGAGATGTTCAACTTAATTAGCAACTGGGAAAACACAAATTAAGATCATAGCCATTTGATATGCCAAAGGGCTATGATCACTCATCAGATAGCCCAAAAATGTTTTTTAAGTTGCATATTCGAAAATGTTGGCAAAGATGTGTGAAAATGGGAACTCTCAGTTACTGCTAGGTGAACTGTACATGGTACAGTATAACCAGTTTGAAAATACCGTTGCCCCTTGGTATACTCAGGGGATTGGTTCCAGAATCCCCACATATGCCAAAATCCGTGCATATCCAAGTCCCTCTGCACAGGCAGCTTTCGCATATCTCAAATGCCGTATTTTCTATACACGTTTCTTTGGGAAAAACGCCACATATGAGTGGACCCACACAGTTCAAGCCCGTGTTGTTCAAGTGTCACCTGTAGTTTGGAAATACCCAATAAAGTCGAACATGCCCATATCCCACAGCCCAGCAATTCCATGCAGGAATATACATTGGAGTAGTTCTCAAACTTTAGTGTGCATTAGAATCACCTAGAAGGCTGGTTAAAATACAGATTGCTGGGCCCTGCCCCTGGGGTGGGCCCCACTCTAGCAGGTTCCCAGGTGATGTCGGTGCTGCTGGTCCAGGAGCTACAGAACCACTGGTTTTAAAGTTAAAGTGGAGATCACTTAGGAGAAAATATTTACAAGTGAGATTTATTGCATGTGATAAAAGAAGTATTACTAAGAACATTTTCCTTTGCCCAATATTAAAATTAGCTTTATTAAAATTCAAATGGGCCAGGCACAGTGGCTCATTCACGCCTGTAATCCCAGCACTTTGGGAGGCTGAGACAGGCGGATCACGAAGTCAGGAGATCGAGATCATCCTGGCTAAAATGGTGAAAACCCGTCTCTACTAAAAATACAAAAAGTAGCTGGGCATGGTGGCACGCACCTGTAGTCCCAGCTACTCAGGAGGTTGAGGCAGGAGAATCACTTGAACCTGGGGGGCGGAGGTTGCAGCAAGCTGAGATCGCACCACTGGACTCCAGCCTGAGTGACAGAGCGAGACCCCGCCTCAAAAAAAAAAAAAAAAAAAAAAATTCAAACTATTCATTCAAAGATGGTGAATTTTATTGCATATAAATTA